CGGTCCCTCCCGCGCGCCTGGAAGTGCAGGGATGGCGCAGCCGCGACTGCGTTCCACTGCCCCGACCGCCGCGCCCATCCCCCACCCCCAGTAAAATGGTCTTGGAACTAACAGAGAACAGAAATTCCCCCAAAATTAAGGGATTCCTTTCTTCCATCCTAGTAGTGCAACCTCACTCCATCTGAAGTAATAGAAAGTTCTCCTGTTAAGAATCGAATTTAAGAAAAACAAAGTTAGGGTGTAAGTGATCTATTTTTAAAGGAGAACAATGCAGTGGGGGCTCCTGTTGCATTTTTTAAACACCGTAACACAAATGGGCTAATGTAATGTGAAATCTGTGAGTGCAATTTTATAATGCAAATCACCTGTTTTCTGCTACTCTGGTCTTCAAGGGGATAGAAGATTGCTAGTATGTTTTCTAAAACTACTTCTACTTTTGTGTAAGTGAAGACTTGATTAGTAAAGACAAACGGCTTCCGCAAAGCCTTTTAAGGAACCATGACAATGCATATTTCATAAAATGTTGCAAGTTGTTCAACACACTCTCTACTCATCCACACACATGCCCGATTCTCCTGCAAATGAAAGCTATCCTGCGATCACAGCGGAGAGTAGCCAAGGAAGGACTAGCAGGGGCAGTCTTGAACTCCTCTGTTGCTATTTCCCTGGACCTTGGATTCTACTTTTAGGAAGCGGAAACCATCTTAGGTTCCTCACCAGTTCCCCTGAGAATCGAATGAAATTAATTAAATATTGGTTATTTCCAATTTCTGGGTTTTTTTTTTTTTTTCCTCCACATTCCCTTTAGGAGAGACAGCAAATTAAAACACGAGATTATATTGTCTAGTAAGCTTCCCTTCCACAAAAGCAGGCAAAGCCCAAATAAAGTGCATTTCTGGTCCTCTAGGATGCATCTTAGAGAAAGGGGCCTAAGATCCCGAGAAACCTAAAGTCGCCAGTAGAAGCCTGTAGGGCCAGAAATACAGTAACCCTCCCATACCTGTGGGGGATAGGTTCCAAGAGCCCCAGTGGATGCCTGAAACCATGGATAGTACCCATTGCCATCAGTGGGAACATGTTTCCGTTCTTCCATCCAAAAACGACGCAACAGCAAAACTAGCATGTATTTCTTTTTTCTTCTTCACATTTTCATGGATAGAAGATTTGTTTTTAGTAGATCTTGGCAACCTCTGCATATGATTTTTTTTTCTTTTCTTATTAAGTCCAGAAGTTTTACCTTTTAATTTAAAGGAGGCATTTGCAGCTTCTCTTTGGCATATCTAAATTGCCAGCATCACTTCTCTTGCAGTTTGGAGCCAGAAAGAAATAAGGGCAAAAAGTTAGTAAAATGAGGGCGACTTGAACATACCGCACTGGTTGTTGCCACAGTCATCTAATAATCCAGACTGTGAAATGACTAACAGGTGAATAGTGTAGACAGCAGGGAAACTCTAGGCAAAGGGAGGACTCACCCTCTGCGGGAAGGAGTAAGATGGCTGGATCTCATCACGCTAATCAGAACCCCACACAATTGAAAACTTAGGAAGTGTGTATTCCTGGAATTTTCAGTTTAATATTTTTAGACCACAGTTGACCACAAGTAACTGAAACTAAGGACTCCAAAGCCACTGACAGGGGGATCCACTGTACAAAAGCTCCCTGGAATTTACCTACTCAATTATCTTTTTACCAGGATCTATACAAATCAGCTCCCCTGCAGTTTCATGCTTTCTGTGAAAAAAATAACAGACGATTCTTAAACTATGTCCATAAGAAGCACTCTATGATAAAACACCATATAAAGTTAAAGAAAAAATATATATAATAGAAAATCTCCAAACGGTTGAAGATGATCAACTATATACACACACATATATGCACACATGTGTATACACATATACACACGTGTATATGTTTGTGTTTGTGTGTATATATACACACGTGTGTATATAGTTTATACACAAGTGTGTATATATATTTTTTACACACGTGTACACACATGTGTGCATGTTTGTATACACATATACACATGTGTATATATGTTTGTGTGTATATACACATGTATGTATATAGTTTATACACGTGTGTATACACGTGTGTGCATGCTTGTGTGTATATATACACATGTATGTATATAGTTGATCATCTTCAACCGTTTGGAGATTTTCTACCCTTTTTGTTGTTGATTTCCTGTTTAATTACACTGTAAACTGAGAACATACTCAGTATGACTTCAATTCATAGATATTTTTTGAAACTTACTCTCCAGTGTATAGTTATTTTCTAATTATTTCATACGTACTTGAAAAATTGTTCTGCATTTGTTGGGTGCAAAACTCTAAATTTGTCAACTAGTCAAACTTACTATGTTGTTCAAATTTCTCTACTGATTTTTTTTTTTTTTTTTTTTTTTGAGACTGGGTCTCGCTTTGTCACTCAGGCTGGAGTACAGTGGCGCAATTGCAGCTCACTGCAGCCTCAACCTCCTGGGCACAAGTAATCATCCCCTCTCAGCCCCCCTAATAGCTGGGACTACAGGCGCGCACCACCACACTAAGCTAATTTTTTGTATTTTTCATAGAGATGGGGTCTCACCATGTTGCCCAGGCGGGTCTTGAGTTCCTGAGCTCAAGTGAACCACCAGACTCAGCCTCCCAAAGTGCTGGGATTACATGTGTGAGCCACGTGCCTGGCTTCTGTTAATATTTTTATCTAACTGTCTCATTAGTTACTGAAGGGATGGGGGAAAATTTCAATTAATGAGTGTGAATTTCTCTACTTATACTTTCATTATATGCTGTCAATTTGTACTACATAATTTTTTTTTTTTTTTTTTGAGATAGAATCTCACTCACTCTGTCGCCCAGGCTGAAGAGTGGTGGTGGGAGCCTGCGCCTCCCAGGTTCAAGTGATTCTCCTGCGTCAGCCTCCCGAGTAGCTGGGACTACAGGGGCACACCACCACGCTCAGCTAATTTTCTTTTCCTTTTTTTTTTTTTTAACGTATTTTTTGTAGAGATAGGGTTTCACCATGTTGGCCAGACTGGTCTTGAACTTCTGACCTCAAGTGATCCACCCGCCTTGGCCTCCCAAAGTGCTGGGATTACAGGCGCGAGCCACCGTGACTGGCCAATTTTCACTACATAATTTGATGCTGTTTTATTAAGGGTACATGAGTTTAAGATCACTATATTTTCCTGTGGAATTTACCCTTTCATCTTGATAGTCTGATTATAATGATTTTATCATCATGTTATTTTATTTTATCAAATGATTATACATTTAACATTATAATACAGAATATATCACATATAATTATAATATTATAGGTATATATTACCTTGTATCATTTTAACATCTTTAACTAGGTTCCTACTTCTTGCTGTATGTGGCCACTTTTGTTTGATTTCATTAACTGTTTTTCCATTAATATTATCATGGAATAGCTTTTTTTAAAAAATCTTTTTACTTTAAACTTTTCTGTGTCTTTGTATTTAATGTGGATCCCATGTAAGCATTAGAACATTTGTTTTAATCCAGTCTGACAATGCCTTTGAATTGAAGCATTGAGTTCATATCATGTTAAATGTAGTTAAAGATAGTATTAGGGTTGTTATGGTCTGAATGTTTTTGTCTCCCCAAAAATTACATATTGAAAGCTAATCCTCAATTGCTAGTATTTGGGTATGGGCCTTTGAGAGGTGACTAGGTTCTAAGAACAGAGCCCTCATTAATGGAATTAGTGCCCTCGTAAAGGCGCAGAGTGCAAAAGCCTCCGAGGGTGTGGAGCACCACAGAGAGTTCCTGTGAAGCCCAATGCCCAGCAGAGCTGGGGCAGATCTGCTCCCTTGACCCAGAGCAGTAGAGCAGCCAGTGTGTGATTCTAGCCCCAGGGAGCCAGGATGCAAGCCAGGCACCAAGCTGCCCTGGGAGCA